GCCTGGGATCCGAACCCGGGCCGCCAGCAGCGGAGCGCGTGCACTTAACCGCTAAGCCACGGGGCCGGCCCTATTAATGGTTTCTTATTGTTAATTTATTTTCAGACAGAAAACCAACATTTCTTTCCTGGTTTAAATTCCATGTGGTCATGGTATTTTAGTCATTTTATATATTGTTGGAATCAGTGTATTAGTATTTTTGAAGGCTTTTTTTAATCTATATTAAAATAAATATTTGTGTACTGTAGTATTAGGGAATATAGTATAAAATTATCTAATGCTACATATAGTGTGTATATGTGTATATATAGAAAGAATGTAGAATACGGTATACATATATTTATATATGTGGATATTCAGTATATTACCCTTATATAGTATAGGTAGCATATATTATAGTATTATATGTAATTAGTATATATTATATATAAGTAGAATATGTTTTATATAACTAACGTGTATAATTATTTTTATAGTGTATAGTGTTATACTTTTTCAGCATAGTATTCCAGTCGTATTAGCCTGTAGCATATTGGGGATCATTGCCATGTCTGTCCAGAGATTGTTCAAATAAGCCATTCACATCCTTGCATGGGAGCATAGGGGCCCCTCACTGTCTTGACACTCCAAAGCCTGCCTCCCCCACCCCCTGTTTATTTTCTCTGCTTTTGAGTTTTTGTGTGTGTGTGAGAGGAAGATCAGCCCTGAGCTAACATCTATGCCAATCCTCCTCTTTTTTTTTTTTTTTCCTGCTGAGGAAGACTGGCCCTGGGCTAACATCCGTGCCCATCTTCCTCCACTTTATATGGGACGCCGCCACAGCATGGCTTGACAAGCGGTGCATTGGTGCGCGCCCGGGATCCGAACCCGGGCCGCCAGCAGTGCAACGCACACACTTAACTGCTACATCACGGGGCTGGCCCTCTGCTTTTGATTTTAACTGAGGTGTCAGTGTGTGTTTCAGAAATTTTAACTAATTTATCAGCCTGATAGGTGAAGTGAGGCTCTGAGTTTGATTTTTACTATGTGCAGAGACATGTGTGAGCTTCTTTTTTAATTGAGTAACTATGGGAAAGATTATCCCAGTGTGCTTTCTTCCAAAAGGGTGACCTTGAATAAGGAGTTGATGCTGTTCTTGTTGTCAGGTAGCTAAACCATTGACAATGAGCTAAAAGTTTATAAAAATGTGAAGATGAGGTCGACTGTTGTCCAGGGCATCCTCTAGCATGATGGCCTGGAGTTTGACATCCTGCTGACCATTAGGTCCTGTCTTTGACCAGGGATGGCCTTGTGAGGGACAGTAGCAGCAGCTCCCCAGTGTTCTCCATCACATGTGCTGGTGACACACCACTGTTGATGTGAAAATAGGGTGCAGGATTTATTTAAACATGAACAAGAAAGCAAAGTACGTTTCACAGTGTAAACCAGTTGATCTTTGCATATCAAAGGGAAGAAAAAAATATGTACAATTATTGCTTCTTTTGCATAAATACTAAAATGACTTACAAGAAATGAATTACATTCTTATTTACATAAGCATGGGGAATCTAGATGCCACTGCTAGAAAACATGGTAGGAGCAGCCTTCAGACGCACTTTTAGATCTTGTGCTGAATTTTTGAATCTTGATATTAAAAATAAAAAATTCGGGCCGGCCCTGTGGCTTGGTGGTTAAGTGCGCGCGCTGCAATGCTGGTGGCCCGGGTTCGGATCCCGGGTGCGCATCGAGGCACCACTTCTCCGTCCATCCTGAGGCCGAGTCCCACATACAGCAACTAGAAGGATGTGCAGCTATGACATACAACTATCTACTGGGGCTTTGGGGGGAAAAAAAATAAAATAAATAAAATCTTTAAAAAAAAAAATAAAAAAATAAAAAAAAAAAATAAAAAATTCATGATAAACAAAAAAACATTTTATTTTTAATAGTGCTGAATAACAAAAATTAACTGAGCAAATTTTAAAGGTCTAATTAGCTTTATTGAGCAATTCATAAATTGAGCAGCATCCCATGTAGCAAGAGAGAGGAGTTCCAAATGGTACAGAAAAGGAAACATTTTAAAGGCAGGACAAGGAAATCATAAACATAAAATAGGCATATTTTAGGCCAGGTTACCTCCTTTTGGTGATAAAAGGGTCTTATTAAATTGATTACTTCATCTTCCTTTGGGGGTGGAGAGGGCCCATGTGGCAGATTACCTCATTGGTGCTGACTAGAAAATCTTAGATTGATTGGTTAGACTACATTCCTGGGAAACTTTGAAGCTGTAGTTAGGTTAGGTATTTACCCTTGGTTTGGTGACATGGGACTAGCAAAAGTGACTCCATTTGGGGCCTGTGGTTTTTTTTTTTTTTTACAATTTCCCCCTGTTGATCAGACTCAGCTTAACTGAGAGATGTGATCAACATTTAAGGCATTAGTGCCACTCTCAGCTACTGCTGTGAAATTCTCTCGGGTTTTGTCGTTCCATTGTATCCAGAGGTCATGATGTTTTTGCTTAACTCCTGTGACATGCAGGTTTATAGCCTTTACCTCTGTGAAAGTCTTCAGGTTTACAGTCTTTAAGTCAATCATCTCTTTATTCCTTTT